AGGGGGAGTCTTGTAAGGAAGAAGATAAAAAATGAATTCATATCAGGGTTTTCACATTTGCGCTCTGATAAACGTGTGACGATATATATATATATATACATATATATATATATATATATATCGTCATATTTCTGACTGTATTTTACACAGACCCGGGCATTACATGGCACTCATTCGTGCATCTGCCCACTTGGAACTGTGGGATGGTGGGATGCTGAGTCAGGCTATTKTCGACGTAATGGGAGGCATCTCTCCCTTCCTGTTACATGCCCAKKTGGGCGATGTAATGGGAGCCAAGGATCCGCAAAGTGATGAAAAGGAGTAAATGGACAATGCAGTGTTAATGACATCTCAACAAGAAACGTTCATCCTGATGCACGCAAAATGGTACTTTGTAGCGCTGTGGGAGACTTGGATATGAGTCCTCACTTGACTGGGACTGACATGACATCTCATGATACTTCACACATGTGAGAAGAGGAGGAGATACCAAACTGTCGAATACCGTAATGGTGCAAAACAGTGCACCGACCGACCTCCCTCACATAGTATAAGATAGTGCAACGGAGTGCTAAGATACCAATGATCAACCCACTCAATGTCGCAATACAGACCCAACATACATAATCATCGTTGCAAGGTGTGAGGGGCCTGGTGCTATACACAGAAGAGTGCGCCAGGTCCAGACCATACACACACAAAGAGGAGGGGGTCAGACGAAGGAGAAGACGGGAGATGGGAATGTTGCGAACACCAAGTCTTCGGTACAAGTCCAAACTAATCCCTCGTCAAATGTCTGAATCCTAATGTCGACTCTGGATCCAAATGTCGTCAAGTCCCACAGTCACAAATCTCTCTCTCTCTCGTATTCTGCAGATACTGAGAAGTCAGGTAGCGAGAGGGTGAGGAAGAGATGGTGGACTTAGAAGAGGAAGAGGAAGAAGAACTCAATGGTCTATACACATTCCAATATCTTCTCGCCGCGAAATGATGGCAGTTGCAGCGTGAGCGCACGGACGATGCATGTCCTTCCAAAAGCGTCAATTGCACACCACTTTTCTTTCTTCAAACTCCGCCCGCAACGGCTGCCACCGACCTTGTGAATCGTTCAAGTACACTTCATACACATCTCGTGCAACTTTTCGAATGGAATATTTCCTTGCCAACTGCAAAGTAATGGTGAGGATGTCTTCCACGACCTCAGGGTGATCCCCCACCTGCGCGTCCGCCGCATCTCTTCTCTTTGTGTGCCATCTCTGCAACCAACCTCGGTACTCCTCGATAAGTGGGATCGGCGACATCCCCCGAGCCTTCAAGAATCTGTTGTTCATTGACTCGGCAACTTGCGATGTCACCTTCTCATATCGTGGAGAAGGGAAATGAGGCTGTCCCCAATGTCTCTTGTCCGCTTTCTCGAAGATCTTCTCCACAATGTTCTTGTCTTTCGAAAAGTCCGCGACGCGCTGCATGTAGTAGTCAAACACTATCTCGCTGGTGTTTCGCGCTGCTTCAAGGAGCATCTTTGCCTGCTCTTTGTTGACCCGCAAACTCTTTAGCAAGTTATCGCTCACTTGACGGACACAATACGCGTGGCGGTCATCATCGAATTCTTTGCTAACCGCCGGAATGAGTCCTTTGTCGCGGTCGGACATTATCGTGATCATGTCGTGAGGCACGTGAGCGGCATCACAGACACACTTCAGAAGAACCAAAAACCATTCCCAATTCTTCTTGTTTTCTGCGTCAACAACTGCATACGCAACGGGGAAACATTGGGCGTTCGCGTCTCGTGCAATTGCACCGAGAAGGCAGCACTCGTACTTCCCCCTAATATGCGCCCCGTCCAGCACAAGCAACGACCTGAAGTGTGCAAATCCATTCACCGAAGCATTGAATGCAAAAAAGATGTTGACAAACACATTGCCATTACATTCCAGTTCGATGATGGACCCTGGGTTGGTCTCATGCACGACCCTGCAGTACGTGTGCAAATGAGTATACCCGGCCTCCGGAGCGCCTTTCGATTCCTCGACCACTCTCGCCCGTGCGCTGACGCACTTGCTGTAGCTGAAGGGGTTTTTTATCGTTCCCGCAAACCATTTCATTAAATCAGTCGCGGTAGTTTCGATCTTCTCTTGTAATTTCTTCCGCACCATCAGCTCCACCCACTTCACCTTTGCGTGTTCATTGCCTGCTGCTTCCCGAACCGGCGCTCTGCAACTAGGGTGATGCGGGGTGAGACTAACAATCTCAGCCGGGCCATTCACATGTGTTGCTCTACCCTCCAGCTCCCACGGGCAGTCGGGATTATCGCAGATGACGTGAAAACGGGTGCGATGCAATCTTCTCCGCTTGTACTGAAAACCCTTCGCAACGGTGACAAACTGAACTGTTTCACGCAAGGCGTCCATAGACTCATAACTACATCCCACCTGGAACGGCCGCACATCTCCAGTAATAGTATATTGCGTAGGAGGTGTGGTGCGCATTGCCATATTGGGGCTCCCCACCTCGTCGTCCGACGAGAAAGCCTCTCGATCTGACGACTCATATGCAGCCCGTTTGGATCCAACGCGTGCTCCGATCGCTGCAGATGGCTCACTCTCCGGATTGCACAGGCGCCGAGGAACTGTCTCCCAATGTCGAAGACTCCCGGAAATTCATGAATCTTCGCAAGCATGTAACATCCGCATGCAGAACATCACTTTCGACAACCAAAGGCTCAGCAACTTCGGAGAGGTCAGCGCCCGCTGGTGTGCCGTCCAATACAACGTCCTCGAAACGTGAATTCGGGACGTGTGGCGAATGATGTGGATCAGGGCGACCACCGTCTTGTTCGGCACCTGTGGAATCGAACGACAGCCCTGGCGACAACCTCAATATGCGATTTTGGAGTGTCGATCGGGCCTGCACCTCCCCTGTATCACGAGCCATAGCAAACGAACCGTCCACTCGAATATGGAATCCAGTTCCCTGTTCCTGTGGTCCAGCACTTCCTGCAGCAGCTTGAGTGCCTTCGGATGGTGTTATATGAGACTGCTAACGCCCCGAACTCATTCCAGAGCACGGTCTGTGATGCTTCCCACGGATCGACGACCCACATGATTGCTCAACCGCGGGAGGTGGTGTGGCAGGATAATCCAGAAGACTGCGGTGAGCTGCAAGGGTGCGATAGGAGATGCATTTTTGACGCATCGGTTCCTTTTGATGCATGGCAATGTTTGATGGTGGATTGTCGAGTGGTGTCGCGAATGACGTCGGTGGTGTGTTGTGCATGCAGGGTGGAAAATACGGGTCATGAGTTATGACCATGGACAAACTGACTCAACGAGGTGGGGCACATGTAGGCGGAGTAGTGCAATGGGACGGTGTGGCGCGGACTGTACGGAAAGGTGGGCAGGTGAGGAGACGGCGTATGGAATGGAGTTGCATAGTGGGGGAAATTGTGAACCCAAGGACCGTGGCCAGGAAGCGGCCATGGTGGAGGCAAAGGAGAGCGAATCGCAGAAATAGAGGAAGGCCTATCTAGGAGAGCTTGGGAGTAGACCACGCGATTCATTGCGGGTGAAGCAGGTTGTTGTGTGAATCTCGAGAAATCACCAACACGGGAGCATGCTGCCCTGGTGTCGTCCAGAAACGTTGTCAGGTTCTCGCGAGGCTCGTCGTGCGCTAGACCCATTGCACGCTGCGTGAGACAGAGTGTGAGCAGTGCATGTAAGAACTTGGTATGTGAAACCGACAATAGTCAGCAAATGTAACTTTATGTAAGTGTATTGAAAATGACACAAAGACATTCCATTCCAAAGGCATATACGAGGTCTCCAGCACCCAACACTTGTGCGACTACTACAGTGGTACCGGCCTACCTGCTACTTGACTGTTTTTCCCAATGCTCTAAGTGTCGCGGGCCTGCCCCCGCTACTGCAGTGCTTTCCCCGCTGCAACCCTCAAAGTCAGGGTCACAGGCAAGCACCGGCCGTACGGGTCCTCTTAACGAACAAGTACCCTTGCGGGTCACACACACACTCAGGCCCACAAGACCTCAGCAGCCACACACACAGACAAGCAGACCAGCAGGCACGCACACACAAAGACTTATAAACAACATCAGAATGCGGAAATCTCACCAGCGCATACATTACAGCAGCAAAACAACCAAAATTAGTAGTCTTCTCAGTCTGTGTGTTGGCGGGTTATATATATATATATCGTCACAAATAGATATATATATATATATGAAATGGTTTTCACCTTTGCAGTAGCAGATGCACATCCCAGGGCTTGATCACAGAGCTTGACAAGGGACGATATGCCTATTCTGGGCTTCTCACGAAACTGAGAAATTCAGGAATTTGCGCACCGGCAGTTGGTTGAGAGGGCCCAGGCATTGCCTCCCTTCTTCGAAATGTCTCTGAGGCGGGCACTGGGCTRGACACGGGGCACAGGCTGCACACAGGCCGCTGGCAGTTGGACACGGGTAACCAGCACTGGCAGCACAGGCATTGTGCCTGATTCTCTTGGACAGGGCTCAGCCACTTGGGGCCTACAGGAAGTTTCTGGGCAGGGGCCCAGCACCGCCACGCAGCACTTCGCAGGTAGGCCACTTCCTTATAGGAAAGTGCCTGCCTCCACATTCGTCATTCGGGCACTTGCTACATGTTGTGCAAGCGCTGCTGCGCTATACCCTGGCAAGCGCCCACATGCTGTCGCATACCGCAATGTTGCAGACCAGAACAAGAACCGACCTCTCTCACATAGTACATGATAGCGCAGCAGAAGGCTAAAATACCAATGATCAACCCAATCAACGTCGCAATGCAGACCAAACATATGTCATCATCATCATATGGTGTGAAGGGGTCTGGCGCCCACACAGGAAGAATGCGCCAGTCCACAAACATACACAGACGAAGAGGACGGGGATTAGACGAAGAAGAGGGGGGCAGATGGGAATGCCGTGAACATCAAGTCTTCGGTACACGTCCCAAAAAAATTGCCCTGAAACCTAGGCACCAGACAAGGGTTTTAGGCACAGGCTATTTTTGGCCTATTCTCAAGACAACCTTTGTTTGAGCTTCAACGCCAGAGTCTGGCACGTTATGGCATTGGCAAGTGCAACATCTTGGACAGGCCAGCACTATATAGGACTGGTCCGCCCTGCAGGCCATGGGTACTGAGAGGTACTTCATAGGAACTTCCCCGACACTTCACAATGTTCACATGCAGTTAAGGGGGCAGGCAGTAGTCTTAAGGATTCGGCAACAGCACTCTGGAGGAGCGCTGCAGGAGTGGTGGTAGCGCTAGCAATAGTCTTCAGCGCTGGGCGCTAGTAGCGTTAGCAGCAGTCTTCAGTGCTGGGCGCTAGTACGGGCTACAGTAGTGTTCGAGAGAGAGAGAGAGATGGTTGGCGGAGGACAGGGAGACTTACCTGTGCCGCGATAGCTCCAGCTTCATCTTCGAGGTACCTGCAACAAGACGCCACTTCCACAGGTTAGTACCAGAGAGAGAGAGAGAGAGAGAGAGAGAGAGAGAGAGAGAGAGAGAGAGAGAGAGAGAGAGAGAGAGAGAGAGAGAGAGAGA